CCCCTCCACTCAGTTACTGCCCCACTCCCCTCATAGAAAACAGATCAGCTGTTTTCTGGCTTATTTATCTCGTGTTTCTGTTTGTAAAGATAAGTACTACAGATTTATGTCTTCCCCATTCTTACACAGAAGGTAGCAAGCTACCGATTGAGCTAGGCTCTTCAAGTGCTTTGCAAGCACCCATATCAGTTGTACTCAGTGGTGCTGTTGCAAATCTGCGAATTCCTGAGAAGTGGCCTGTTTTCTGTGCTTCAGACTTTGGCCGCAGATAGTGACATGAAGCTGTTCATTAGTGCGTGTGCTTGCTGCCACGTAGACCTCGGCCCTGATCTAGGGGACTCTCTCCCTAACTGGTGTCGGGGCTGCCTTGTCCTTTTACTGTGGGATTTGCACTGTCTCTGGCCTATCACATATGGCTTATATCAAGCTGGAAGGAGTTTTGCTTTATTTTTAATTGAGGTGAAATTCCTATAGCATAAAATAACCATTGTAAAGTGGTACTTATGGCATTTATTAGAGATATTTTTGTGCTGACATCATCTCTGAGTCATTCCAAAATATTTTCACCATCCCAGTGGAGACCATGTACTTATGAAGCAGACACCCTAACCCCAGCCCTTGACAGCCCCGGACCTGTCTCCATGGATTCATTTTTTTCTTTTTTTATATATATTTCATAAAAGTGGAATCGTATAATATGCTATCTCTTTTTGTCTTACACCTTTCATTTGGCCTGATGTTTTCGTTTTCAAAGTGCATCTGTGTTGTAGCCCATATCAGTGCTATAGATTTTAAAAGATGAATAATATTCCATAGTTTGCTTGTTCATTCATCTGTTGGTGGGCATCTGGGGGGTTCTGGAGTAAAGGTGGGATGAGAAGTGGCTTGTGCTTTACCTTGTGCTGTGCTACTTACTCACCATGGGATCCTGGACCTGTTCCTAAATTGGGTTGTGTCCCACTGCCTTCATTTGTTGAGTGAAGATTAATAACAATAGCTAACTCTTAGAGGTGTGGGGTTGAATCAGAAATGTATGCAGTGCTCATAGCATAGTCCCTGGCAAATAGAGGTTCCTTGGTAAACAGTAGAGGACTCGCTGTAGGATCCCAGGAGAGAGGGCTGGTGGGGAAGAAAGAAGACAGGTTTGTGTTGTAAAGTGTGTTTTAGTGTGTGTGTGTGTGTGTGTGTGTGTGTGTGTGTGTGTGTGTTCTGTTGTAGCTGCTGAAACCTCCATGCTCTTTTTTTTTAAAGGCCTATCTGTTTTCTCTGCTGTGTGGCTTGGTGTTTGGGTCCCCACCCCATCACCGAACATGAAATTTTACATTTTAGGAGCAGGTTCACTAGACAGAATGTCGGTAGTGGAATGTTACATAATTCACATTTAGATTTGAAGAGCTCATTATAAAAAACCTGACACACTTCAGGAATATTAAATTACTGCAGATTGTGCGAGAGCAAAGAAACATTATTGAAGCATTTCAAAATTCTAGACGAGCCTGAATTTAACTGATAGGGTTTCACAGCTTTTACTGGGGAAAACGATTTGAGTTGTCACATGGTTGTTGGCCCTGGAGGACTTTAATCTCCTTAATTACAAAGAAATGGATTTCCTAAATAATTTGGAGTTATTTCACAGTGTTCGCTCAACCTCTGGCTTTTGGAAAATTAAAGGGGATACCAGAGTTCATGTCGTGTACATTCTCCGTGCTGCAGCTTCATTCTTTAAGTTTGCATTCAGAATGATGCTGGTGTTTCCTTTCATCATCAATATGTAAGTGTCCTCCCAGACTTCACAAAGAGCACACGTAACCCTTAAATGCAATCACCTTTTGTCATACGAGTGACTGGGTATAACCATGGGAGATTGAAAGAGGTGTTCCACTGTTGTTTTTAAAGTTGAAGGAGGGAAAATGGTCCAAATCTAATCTATTTTTACATATTGGCTTATAAGGCTCCTTGAAACTGTGTCAACTCCATATATTTCAGCTCCTCCTGGTATAGATTAGTTCGACACCTACTGAGTGCAGGGTCAGCATGATGGAAAGACCTTTGGTGCTATCACTTCTGTGTTGTGTACTCAGGAAGCTGACTTAGCTTTTCAGTTGCTGTCTCTGTAAAGTCCAAGTAGGACATGCGATCAGGTATCAGTCTTGTGTCGCCGAGTAAGTAACTCAGGAAAGTATGGACCTAATATTAAGTGAGTGCTTGGACGTGTGCCAGGTACTCTTCCAGTTACTTTGCACTTGGGGTCCCACTTAATATCTACAATGCCCCCAGGGATTTAAAAGTATCTGTCCCAGAGTTGAGATGCAGGGTCCGAGGCAAGAGGAGAATAGCTTTAGTCTCTTGTGGTGGCTTGGTGGCTGAGACTCAGAGGGTGGCCCTGACCAGGTCATGAGATTCTGTTTTAGTAGAGGGATCGGCAGATCTTTCTGCTTGAGACTTCTCTTTGAGCTGAACTCTGAGGGTTTGGTAGAAGGTTTTGTTTGCCAGGCTTGACAAGAGGGATTCCATAGGAAGACAGCAGTACAAGGAGGAAATGAGAAGATGGGAAAGTGTGTGTATCACATCCCTAGTACACTTGTACTCTTTTTTTCTTTGTATTATTTTAATTTTGTTGATTTCAAGCCTCCTTGCTCTTACACACAGGATGCTTCTCCCTGGGACAATCCTTCACTCATTCACTTGTTCATTCATGCTGCCTATGTTTATTGAGAACCTCTTGGTCCTTTCTTTTACCCGTATGGCAAAAGCATTGTTCTTCATGATCCTGCAGAGTAAGGCTTATCCTGCCTGTATGCAGATTTGTTAGCTTTTCTAATCAAAAGTGAACCTCTGCTCTTTTGTCCCCAGCGTGCCTGGTGTTTTTGCCTGTTTTTAGTTCTAGTCCCCCGTGTGTCACTATCCACATGACTGACACCTCTGCCGGACCAAGCTCCTTTAAAGACAGGAACCAGACTGTGTGTCCCCTTGGCCGGCACAGTTGCTCGGTAAATATCTGTAGTCATCAATGAGCCAGTGTAGATTCCTAGTGGATATTTGTTTCAACAAAATGATAAACATTCCTGATAAAATGAATTGTCTCTGTAGAGGAGCAAGGTTGAAACTCTGTCATCTCCCATGGGACATGGTCTTTGGAGGGGAGGAGTAGTGAAGGGGGATCAAAGGCCTGGTGAGGATAAATGGCCCTAATATGCCAGAAGTTCTTGTTTTCTGTGAACAGTTCCATGGACCCCACTCTGTAAAGATAATTTTTTGCTTTCTTTAGTTATAAACAGACTTTCATACAGTGTTCTTTTTTTTTTTTTTTTTTTTTT